AAAATATAAATATGTTAAATCACTGAATTGTTAAGTATTGACATCCTAACATTTGAATGTATTTAATATTAAGTGACATGTGAATAGCTTTTCACTTAATTTTTGGAGTAAGTTTTGTCTAGATAATTTGATGTTGTATTTTTTGTTATCAAACACGTCTAAATATATTAAGATTTGAATCCATTAAATTAAATTGTTAAATTAAGTTATCAAACAAGGCATTGGGCCATAAGACAAGCATTCAAACAGGAGACGGTGACTAGAGAAACAAGATGAATGACATACTGTGGATAACTTGTTCAATGTACCATCAATCTGAATGAAATATGCTTCCAAAAGCATTTCGAGATCTCCCACATGAAGTTGTTTGCTTCTGGAACTGCGCCTTGAATTGGTATGGCATAGACTACTTTCAGCGTCAACCAAATTAGAATCACAAAATAAATGTTCCTGCTGGTTGTGTAATTGTTGAATACCTGCATCACAACTGTTGGGCCCCCAATTGAGTAGAGATTTCAGAGGGAAAACCTTATACTTATCAGGATGAGATATTTAACAATCGAGCAGGAAGCCAAAAACAGCATGTTTGAGAAAATGCTCAATGTAAAGCATAAAGTAGTGCTGAAGCAAGGGGAGATAAAAAAAAAAAAGTTATGTATCATACATGTTTGGCTGTTTAGCTTCTTCATCAGTTGTGGCAAATTCCTCATCGATAGAGGAATTTGAAGAATTTTCAAGTTGCCATTCTATATGTTTGTCAGTCAGATACATCCCAGCCATATCTTGATCATCATTCAACAGACTTTCTAACTCATCGCGAACCTGGAGACAAAGGTCTTTGCATCATTTGTCAGGAAAAAGATACCATAATGGTTCATCTGATATTGAGCAAAACTATACTACCACTAAAAAGTTGAAAATAGCATAATGGTAGATGGTTTGGGAGAGGAGGACTGTGGGATCAGTACATATGCCCAACACAGGGATTTTAATAGCGGTCAAGAAAGTTATTGTATCAGAGACAGAGAAGCTGAGAAACAATCATCAAGAAAGCTGCAAAGAAGAGCCAACAGATTTCAAAAGAGATAAAAAGGCTCGAAACTCGTGCTGCATGTGTAACAGAGAAAAGATCCCCAAGTTAAAAAGAAATCTCCTGCAGTTTTCTCGATAATGATCCTGGCTGCCAATTTTGCACAACCAATCGGGAGAGTATAAAACCTGCTAATATAGTTTGAGGGAGGTCCGGGAAACCAAATTCGTTTGCAGCTTGAGTCCAGTGAATTTAACAAGTCTAACGAGGGTTTAAGGAGTTTCTGCAACTACATTAATGACCTGAGGTAATACAGGTATACTCACATTACGAAATACAATCAGTTCTTACGTTCACAAAATTTTCTAAATGTTAGGCTGGGTTAAATGGTGCTTAAAGAGAGAATAACCCCGACGGGAAAGTATAAGCACTCCACTACGTGGGCTGCATATCTCATGAACTCAATGAAGCAAATACTTTTGCCATAAAAACACAGTGAAATTAGTGAGTTTATACAACATCACATCCTTGAATTACTAATATGAACAAAGAACAAAATATACAAGTGGTGAATTAGGTGTAATCCTCAAAATAATCTCGAATCACTTATTGGAGTTACAAAGCTCTTTAAAAATGAAGCATATAAGAAGTGTGGTTTGGACCATTTTGAGAGGCATTTGTCAAGGTCAAGATAAAAATAGAAAATCGTTGATAAATTTAACCAAACAATCTTAAGTTAATTAAATATTGATTTTTCGTCCAAAACTAATTTGAGAGCCAAAGGAAAAAAGTTGATTCAAGTAGTAATATTAGAAGTTGTTTGAATTTCAACCTTTTGCACACGTTTGGTTAATGGAATCAGTCGGCCTTTGATTTGCTGCACTTGCTCTAAGTTGAGGCTACTAATATTGGAGGTCAGTTTATTAAGAGCAGGACGAACTTCTTTCTCCAATGCCCCAACCTAAAATTAAACCACACAACAATTAATTCAAAAAAAATGTCAATTCAAATCGCAAAAGTTTTCGGAATCAGGGTAAATATTGCATGAGATGAATGCAACAGAATTCACTTCATAACCAGAGTGAAGAATGGATATTTTTACTTCATTCTCCAAGCAACTGCAAGCAGACTCAAGGCATGCCTCCAAGGCAACAAACTCAAGTGGAAGTAGCTTTGGTCCGTCCTTGCTCTCTGCAATATGTCGTTTGCTACCTCCTAGACCTTCATTCATGTTTAGGGGGCTTCTGGAACAACTTGAAGCAATAAAGGCTCTTGATTGAGGCTCTTCCAAATTGTAGAAGTCCACATTGTCCCCCTTCAAGACCACATCAAATAGTGATAAATTTATTTTTACATCTGTCAAAGCTTCTTATGTATATTCTTGTAAAATACTTTTTCTTCAACTACTTTTGATCTTTTTAGAGGATTCCATTTTTGACTGCTCATTAATACTATTGGTTTCTTAACACTCTACCTCAAACAGGATTCCAGATTTCACTTTGAGGGTTTAGAAAGTGAAGTTTAAGCCGAAATGTTTGTATAAAACCTCTTCAATTCCTATAGTATCCGTCTTCCCTAAATATATGAATGCAAGTGAATTCATCAATTTTGATTTAAAAATCCAGAGAAAATTCCTTACAACTCCAGAAATTCAACCCGAAATTATGCTTGTAATATACTAAAAGCCAAAACAGTTGGGCTTGTTCAATTGCTATGAAAGGCAGTTGGCAATGCGTCACGCACAATACATCTATCAACAAATAGTTCAATGCAGATTATCAGCACTGTCCCAATCACCTAACACAGGCCAAAAGCATCCGTGCTGGAACTTATTTGGCCATCAGACGTCAAAGATATGGCCATCATTGCCGGTGATTTTGATACTGATGCAATGTGGCTACTCCCAATTGAATACCATTTTCTGAACATGTTAGGTTTCAAAAAGTTGCTGGGCAAGTGTACACAAGATTTCACAGAAAAAAGAAAAACTATTTTAAATGTTCCCATGGCTTGTGGATGAAACTTTCTACACTAGTCAATGTAGGAACGATAAATCAACAAATTGAGCAGCCAATCAGTCACAAAGCACTAGTGCAGTAGTGGACATGTACCAACGGGGTGAGGACAGCTTGGTGGTGGCGGAAGATTTTCAGGCGCAGCTCCTCAACGAAGGGAGCAACAGAAGGGTCTTTAGAATTGAGCAAGATGACCTCATGGGCAGTGATAATGGCCTTGATATGCTCGAGGCTCACCACAATAGCCCGCTCCCGGCTGAGCAAGGTGGCCGGGTAGCCGAGGAGCGGGTCCAGAATACGAAGATCCCGGGTCTGCAGACCAGTGCGCCTCATGATTGCATGCTTTCCTGCTTCCAATACTTCGGGGGGATTCCCTTCTGAATCCAGCAAGACCCAGGTACGCCGAGTTCCCAGCAACCCCGCCTTCTTGGACTTCTTTGGGGTTAAAAAATCGACGTCATCAACATGATCAGCCATAGCAGCAGTTTGGGAGTTGAATCAGGAATTAATCCTCCTCAGTTGATCCACAACAGGATTAGGAATAGGGTGTCCACCCCCGAAAAATCACCACCCCTATAAACTACTACTACTCTACTGTTGAAGAAAACATGTACAAGACAAAAAGGGAACAGGAGAAGCACAAGTAGCAGGTGAAGGTTCAGTTGTTTCACCCCCAGACATGCCTACTCAGTGTTTGCTGACCACATCATCAGTTTGATGGAGCAGATGAATTTTACAGGGACAGTCATACTCGGGGCAGGGGGTGACTCCAGAGAATATGATCCGTTCTAACATCTGGACACAGACTCCCCCACTGAGGCGTCCAAGGATTTGTGACTCTGACCAACGATTTCTAGGCACTATCCTCTTCCAATCTAATACACTGTTAGTATTCACACGTAAAGGACAATAGAAATCTAGTACTCATCATTTATGAACAAGTTGTACCTTGTTAACAACAATTGTTTCTTATTGATGCAAAAATCTTTTGAAACTTATCTCCATATTGTTTCATTCACACACTAAAAAGACGGTTAAAACAGTAACAAGAGAAAAAGAAAATTTATGAGTATTGCTTCGACCGAATTCTGATAGGAGGGCCATATCAATGCTGGTGTTGAGTTTGGATCTCGTATCTGTGAAACTAAGATGCCATTCCTGGGTTGTGAATTTAGTTGATCTGAGGACTTGACAGCCCAACTCATAAGGCCTTTAGCCCTCCTCATACTAGGTGCTGGCAAACAGCAAGGTTCAATTCTGGTAATTGCCAAAGCAATAAACTAACTGGTAGTATCTCATTCGTCATGGTAAATGTCTTGTTTCGAGTCTCCAACTTTCCTTTTTACTCTTTCTTTTCCTTTGTCAGATTTAGAACGCGTTTTAAACCAAAACAAATAAATTAAAAAATAATTAACTAAACTCTTGTAATCATTTTTCAGTGCATTCTGTGTAATGCTTATCTGCTATGCATGTAATACAAGTTTTTATTTTATTAAAGAGAGTTAAGTTGATCTAGGCTAGCTGACATGTTTGTTCCATCCCTTCATTTTTTTTTTTTGCAAAATTCTTTTCTAGGAAAATTCTAAATTGAGGACTCACAAATTCCGGCTTTTGCATTGCCAAGCCTGAGCCATATAAAACGAAAATGGAAAAAAAAAAAAGGCTGAAGTATATATACATGCTCCAAAACTATTGAAGTTTTTTTATCATCTCCTTTTCTTTTAAAATTTTTTATTGAAGAAAAGTCATGATACGAACAACAGCACTAGGTCCATTGATTTTCCTTCCTCTAATTAACATGGTTTTGAACAGATAAAGTGACCTCTCGAAATAAATACACATTACATAGTATTCCAGCAGTAACCGCCGCCCGAAGGGGGGGGGGGATGGGGGGGCATGGGAGCAGCTGATTAGGGTGGGAGTGTGGAGGGGTTATGCATTCCTTATAGACACAAAAAAGACACCATCAAGCCATCACATTAATCCCAAGTGCTTATACCAGGAAATTGCAATCAAATATAGGACGATGCTGCAAGCTGTTCCGCCGCCGCAGAATAAGATGAAATAGTAATTGGGAGGATCAGTCTTTTGGAAGAGACTAAAGTCGTGGATATTCATACTAAAAACTCCTGTCACAGTGGTAAAAGCCATGAGCACAACGCCTGCTGTCATGAACAACACCGCCTTTTGCATCATTCTGTTCCGTGTGTCATCCAGCATGATATTGATGTAGTCTTCCGTGTCATCTACGTACTCCCTTAGCTTCACAGGACCAGCGCGAGCATTTTATAAGTATTCACTTAAAAAGCTAATTAGTAGTATTATGTTCTTGAGAGACTCGTGAGATCTTGTAACCAAAAACAAGAAATGAAAGAAAAAAAAATGAAGTTTCAATTCCCCAGATTGTAGATTGATATGCAGAGACGACAAATTGGTACCGTTTTATCTTTTAAGGTTAGTTGTAGTACCATTAGTTGCGTTATCTGCAGTGCCCCATTAATAGAACCCTAATACTGAAAGCCCCAAAAACCCTTGGGTGTTCCTTGGTAAACTTTTGAGAGCCTAATTTTACAAACTTTTAAGGGGTATTTTCATTTTAAATTCGTCCTTGAAAGTAGAATTTCTCACATACGCAGACGCACAAGGAAGAGGATTGAATGCCACGAGGGAAATAAAATTCATGTCTAGATGCAACATATATAGTTATAGTCTTAGAGATGCTTGCACCATTCTAGAATACACAGGTTTCGATTCCAAATGATCCATCAATATACGAACTTGAACTTGAAAGCCTATGATTGACTTTGGACAACTCTTTAATTTGCAATAATGCTTTCGAGGGATATATCAGAGTTAGCGAGTTGAGTTACATACAGTTGATAGGCCAGATAATGTTGCATCCACCCGAACAAAGTAGGCTTCCACGATTATTTCCACATCCTTCACACCGAGATGCTTGCTTTTGCCTATCATGTATCTTCTACTGCTAGTATGGATTGCAAATTGGCTTCCTCTGCTGAGAGAACTGGCTGTGCGGATTGCCCGTTGCTGGTGGTGCTGTTCGGCAGGGTGAAAATCAACGCTGAAACGGCTGGAATTCCCTCTGTCTTGCACTAAGGTTTCACCAGAAACCCTGCTCACTAACAAGATAAAAGAGAATTAAGAGATGCCAAAGCTTGAAAGAAGGTAGTAACAGCCGAAAGCTTGGGACGAGCATATACAAAGCGTAACGGGTAAAAGTTGAAATGTATAGGATGTAAAAGAAACATCCCGTGCCTTTCATCCAGGACTCTCTGCACAATTTCATGTTTTATGGAGGATAGGGAAGAATTCCTAAGCTGCCTCTCAACTGCATGCTTGTTTGTCAGATACATCTTAGCCATATATTCGTCGTTATTCAGCAATCGCTCTAACTCATCTCGCACCTGAAAATTAATTAAGACATTTGCACTGCTCCTATTAGTGATCTACGAAACAAAATTATGAATATTGACTGGGAAAATTAAGGAAGAACTATTACCTTTTGAACACGTTGGAATAATTGGGCTAACCGGTTTTTGATCCTGTGCACCCGCTCCAAATTGAGGGTGTTAATTTTTGAAGTCACTTCATCCAATGCTGGATAAGCTTCCTCCTCCAAAGCCGTTGCCTGCAGATTTCAAAGCCAAAAAAAAAGGGTCGATACAGCGCAAACCATAAAAGGAAAATAAGGAAAAAGAACAATTCTCCGGGGAGTATTAACCTCTTCGTCCAAATAACCGCAAGCAGCGTCCAGGCAGGCTTCTAATACTACAAACTCAAAAGGAAGAAGCAGGGGTGGTCCAGTATTTTCTCCATTTTGTCCCCTCGTCAATAGCGACTCTTCTTCCCGTGACAGTGCTTCGGTAGCCTGGTGGTGCTGCATGATTCTGTGTCGGAGCTCTTCCACGAAGGGCACGACGGAGGGCTCTCTGGAGTTGAGCAGGAGGACTTCATGTGCCGTAACTATGGCTTTGATGTGCTCCAAATGGACGATGATGGCCCGTTCCCGCCCTATCAAAGTGGACGGATACGAGAGGAAAGGATCCAATATCCGAAGATCAAGGCCAGACAGGCCAGTCCTCCGCATAACACCGTGCTTCCCTGCTTCCACTATATTTGATTCGCCGGTTGAGTCCAGTTGTAGCCATGTTCGGACCCCCGTGGCCTTCTTTCGGAGATGATCGCCTCCTCCTCCTCCTCCACTGATGCCAGCCATAGAGCGCTGGAAGAAGGGAAAAAAAAACAGAATTTCAATACTACGCTTAGAGAGAGTATTAGTTTTGACTTTTGAGGTGGGAGGGAGGTAGCACCTGATGACCTCCACACCACAGCCAACAACTCACAAAATGTGAAATAAGCCAGCCAGGGCAGGCGAAAAGAGCCACCTGAAATTGAAATTGAATGCTTGCAACAATAATGTTGAGGCCATGCACGAGAGTCTAAATCATGACGTCAATGTTCATGCTATCTTGCTGATTAATTTATGGGAAGATCCAATTGACATGTGCTAACTAACCCAACCCATGTAGTAATTAATTAAAGTACCAACTGTTCAAGGTTGACCACGCCCGTCCACCTGCTAACGTACTAATATTATTTCTGGGTGTTGCTTTGCCCAGAAAGAGTTTGAGATACACGTCACACTTTCACTTTTTAGAACCTGCAGATTCGCTGCATGGTGACGGTACCTTTGTTGTGGCGGTTACAGCCGGACGTAATATCATCACCAATTAAGTATTACTCTCCATTTATTTATTTATTTTGATTCTGGAAATCTGGTAAATAGCTACTGGCCTAAGTGAGACTAATTAAAGCCAACTAGCTGATGGATGTAAGTCAAGCTTACGAAGTTTAATTTGGCACGAGTACTTCAGTTTCTTGGGGTAGGAAAATGGATGTCATGCCAGCACAAGACAATTTTTTTTTTTTTTTTTAACCCTTCCACTCCTCCCCAGACTCTTCTTATCTCCCCATCCTCTTCTTATCTCCAACTGCCAAGCACAAGAACCTCACAACAACACGACAAGGAAGAGTCTAAGAACCCCCGGCCTGACCGCTGAGCGCATGAGAAAAAATTTCAATTAATTTGTGAAGTTAACATTCCGGATGTGCCATATGCACAGCTCAAGATCGTCTTCTTTCGTGTACACTGCACAGATATGCAAATGCGAAGGATTCCTCAACAATTACATTGCTGAAAGGAGGAAGTCTTGCATTGCTCATATTCTTGGCCTGCGTACGTTGCATCACCTTTTCTCTTCTTTTTTTGTTTTAAATAGAAAAAGGGGTCTGAAAGTGCATCGTCTTTCTTGCAATTATTTTTTTTATGCCGATGAACTGGATATGAGGGAAACAAAAAACAAAGCCCATGCTGTTTATGAGATCATTGGGTTAACACAAGTTGCACAGCAAACCGATGTTGTTGGTGTATCGTAAGAGTTTAATGTTTCGTACGTTCGACTTTTATTGTCTTTAGTTTTCAGCTATCAATTCTGTGACCCACTAAATAATTTCGACAGAATTGATTCCTTGTGTCTGAAGTGTGAGAAAGTACAAAGTGCAAATTTGATTAATAAAGCAGGAGGAATTCAACTTGAAAGCTAAATGGCTCTCATCAGTCTTTATGCTGTACACGAACCGAGAATGCGCACGTTCATGACTCACAAGATCGATTCATGCAAAAGTAAGATTGATTTCGCAACCTGCTTTCACATGTGAAGTTGATTTTGTTTTCTGAAGGAAGGTTGATCAGTTCCTTTTGTTGCAGGAAAGACGTCCCTCCAGCCTGCCAATCAAACTTTATTATTACTTCTTTTTTTCAATTTATGCTGGAAAAAATGACCATAAAATATGAATAAAATTGCCTTGCCTTTAAATATGAATAAAAAGATAGGGAAAAAAATTTCTTCCATTTAAATGATGTGTAATAAGGTACGAACCCTTGTATAATAGTACCATATATAACTCGTCAATGCAGCAATCCTTTGTATCTATACAGCCACATTGCAATTATATATATACATATAGTACCAAAGCTGCCGGCACAAATCATCCACAAGAAGGATTTGTTTGGAGGTTCATTGTCATTGAACAAATCAATGTGAATGTTTATAGCCAAAACTGAGTCTACGATCATAAAACAAGTCAATGCTACGGTTGCTGTCATCAGCTTGATCACCATCTCCATCATGTTGTTCAGTTTGTCATCGAGCATAATGTTGATATAGTCTTCAGTATCATCTACATACTCCCTCAGCTATCAATCAAAAAAACAAGTAATCAGAGAATACTGAATATATATATATATATATATATATATATGCACATACACGAAGATGAAATTCATCAGCAATTTTTGATAGATGGCACATAATTGTAGCACATATACGCCATCGAACAGGGTTCGTTGTTTTACACAAATTTTAGCCTAATCAAACCTCAGTTTTATGTTCGATATATTTAGGAAAACCATTGACGTGGGTATTATTAGTAAAGTATAAGAGCCGAAATAGTTGAAATGACACAAAATTATTAACGACGGAAGTCCTTTTAACATTTGAGCTACGTACAGTGGATAATCCGTTGAGCGTAGCGTCAATACGAACAAAGAATGCTTCCAGAAGCATTTCAAGATCCTTTACACTTTGACGCTTGCTTCTATCACTGCGTTTGCTACTGGCATAGGTTGCTTGGCTTTTTCTGCTAAATACTGAACTAGCAGCGTCAACAAATTCCTGTTCTTGAGCATGATTGGTATGAAGAAGATCAGTACCAAGTCTGGTGGAACCTTCACTGTTTTCTGTCAAGTTGTCAGCTGGCGTCCTGACAACACAAGAATACTGAACAAAGAATTCTAACGATGGAAACGAAATTAATAAGATCCCTTACGGACCCAAATTCAGCAGAAAAATTTAAAAGAACTCACTAACAAGGCTTTGAAGGCAAGTAGTCAACTAATTTCTAGCGCTAGCAATTGAAAAGATTCACTTGCCTGTATTCTACGTCTGACAGAATTACTTCGTTATTCTTGTCATCTAGTTGATCTTCGTGTGCACTATAATTTTGAAGCTGCTGTTGTAGTTGGTTCTCTGTCAGATACATCTTAGACATGGGGTCATCATCATCTAGCAAACGCTCTAATTCATCCTTCACCTGAAATAATGCTTTAGAATCCCTTCAAATAAATGGAATATAGACAAATAATAACCAGATGATAAGCTTCATGCTAGTATATATTCCAAAGTTCTAGAGCTTAGACTAGCTGAAAAAAAAAATACGATCAGTCAAAGCAAGTTTCAAATTCAAAGCATTACTTGACTCCCAATACTGTAAAAGTAAATGAGGACCACCCAAGGGAGAAGTGGAGAACAAAACCAAGCATCTAGCAGGAGTATCAAATAGAAAGAAGCGATTTAGAGCACTCGACCTTTTGAACACGATTAGTTATCCCGATTAAGCGGCTCTTAAATTGGTGCACACGTTCCATGTTGAGAGTAGAGATGTTCGAAGTTAACTCATCAAGTGCCGGATAAGATTCTTCCTCCAATGTAACTGCCTGGCTTGAAATGAAACATTCAAGGAATTAGTCAAATTAAACTTGACAAGCGAACCAGAAAATGGACATCATCCTCGAAAAATCAAAAGCGAGTAAGTATATGGTTTCTTTGCCTCGTTGTCCAGCCAAGTGCATGCCTCCTCGAGGCAAGCCTCCAAGACAACAAACTCGAGGGGAAGACGCTTCCGATCATCCAAATTTTCTCCTCCAAACTCGGCCCCTACTTCCTCTGGATCGATGCTATCATGGTGGTTCAAGATTTTTTCACAAAGCACTTCTGCAAAGGGCGCGACAGCGGGGTCCTTGGAGTTGAGCAAGAGGACTTCATGAGCCATAATCACAGCCTTGATGTTCTCCACACTGAATATTATGGCTCGTTCACGGCCCGAAATGGTGCATGGATACGAAAGATCAGGGTCCAGAATACGCAGATCTCGGCCGGTGATACCTGTTCGCCGCATAATAGCATGCTTCCCTGCTTCCAATATATGGGACTGACCGGACGAGTTGAATAGAAGCCATGGACGGACCCCCAACGGCTTCTTCTCAAGTGGGGAGCTATTGTCAATATCAGCCATACCATATAGATCTATCAGCACATTAAGTGCTCTGCTGCGTTTGAGTTACTCAATGCTGTTCACATGCATATTGTGAATCATCAAACCACACCGGCAGATGAACCATACAGCAGGCTCTAATTAGCACGTCACACCAGTAGATGACTGATTAACGATACAGCAGGCTGTAATTAACAGTGTTGAAAGCGCAAGAGAAGAGAAAAGGCCAATCCTGTGCAGGTTGGAACCCAGGGGTAGTAGTCTGTGGTCAAATAATATAGAAATGGAATCCCAACTGTAGCTTCTGGAATCATGCTTCCAGCTTCCCTTGATTATGAATAGAATTGATCACGCTCCTCACAAGTCACAATTGAAACCAGTTTGAGTTTAGAATAGTCATTTTATATTTTTTATATCACATTCTTATTTATTTACACCCTGTCTAGATTCATTTGCCTTCGGAATAAAACGGAGAAGAAGTACTGCTTGATTAATATGCTCCGGCTGCCGGGCCGCATGACTATTACAGGAGTACTAAATTGAGTACTTGGTCAACCTCGCACATGAACTGTTACAATTGACTTTAGGCGCGGTTGAAACCTACGGCCCCATACCCCCGGGCCCCTTTGGAATTTCTTTAACAAATTTCTGCCACATGTCCCTATTTTTAATTCCCATGCTGAGAGGAGCTAGAATCAATGGAGCACACTCCTTTCTTGTGCAAAATGGCACAGGAAGTGTGCAAACATGCCCCAGTCAAATGCGTTGGATTAGAAGAAGCTGGGAGTAATTTATGGGGATGGTAGGACAAGCTAAGAGGGGCTCTGAAGAGGAAGGATGGAAGCAGGCATATTGAACTTGCGGCAAACATCTTATCGCAGATATGGGAGGCGAGAAACAGAAGACATTTTTGAAAAGCACAACAATAACCCAATGAACACTGACAGCAGATATTGACAGAATGGAGAGAGTATGAAAAGACCCTATTGAAGTCAAACTGTGTGATCTCCGCAGAGACACATGAAGAAGGCTATCAGCATTGGCAACCTCCTCAACAAGGCTTCTTGAAAATCATCATATATAGCTACCAAGAACAATCTGCCTTTTGGACAGACTGGAATTGTAGCAGTGGGTAAGAATTGGAAGGGTGAAACCAAGTGGCTTGGGCAATGACTAAACATAGAATTAGGAACGAAAGAGTTAGCTACTGCTACAGCTATCAAGTTAACTATGGTTAAAGCTGCTGAAGAAGGATATCAGAATATCATCCTTGAGTCAGATTGTAAAGCAGTAATGAACAAGTTATCTATCAAAAATTGCAGGGATGCAGCAGGTGAAACAGTGATGGAGAATAGCTTGGCACTAAGTCCTCAATTTCTGCAATGTAAGTATTCTTATGTAAGTAAAAATATTAATGCTGCAAGTCTTCTTCTTTTTGTTTTCAACAAACGGCATGCTACAAGTCTTCTAGTTGCTAATTTTGCAGCACAACTTGGAAAAGATATCAGGTGGAAGAGTTTTGCTAATTTTGCAACACAGGTTGGAAAAGATATCAGACGGAAGAATTTCTTTCCTTTGTGGATATCTTAATTAGATGACCAACGGTTTTGTGTAAGGGCAGTTGCCACTTGATCCAAGAACCGTTGGTCTAAATAACCAAATCTTTTATTAATTATACTGTGATCCTTACTACCTTGGCATTAATATATCAATAACTAAAATATGTCTACATAAATCAAAATTTTATTTTATTTTCAAAGGAAGGACTCCATTGGAATTGACCGACTATTAGTGGTCAACAATAAAAATTATCTCCAAGATTTATTTACTTCGACTTCAAAGGAAGGACTCCATTGATATTTTCATAATTAAGAAAAAAGTACAATCATGATCATAAGAAATCACATATTATAACAAAGGGAAATAGGAGGATTGCGGTCTGTAACTTGATTTTAACTTACGGACAGATCCTGACCGTTGGATCATTGTGGCATTTTGATGGGAAAGGACAACCTATTTGTCCGGTAAATATACTAAAAGAAAAGAGAAATTTTAAGGACTTCTCTTTTTCTTTTTTTTTTGGTTCTTTCCACCATCTTCATTTCCTTATTGCCTAACAGCATCCACCATTTATAGTCTTTTTATGGCTAATGTGACTAGTCAATTGCCTCCAATCAAAACATTTCTTCCTATTTCCTTCTTTTCAACAGAAACAAACAAAAATGTGTACATGTGTGTGTGTGTGGATGTATGCAACCAAAAGGGCAAAAGAAACAAATACAGTTCCAATTGAAGTGAAAGTATGGCTTCGAAATTATGCTGTGAAGTGTCAAGTGCAAAAAGTCTCTGTTGGGAGGAACAACGGGAAAATAATGCAACCAAGAAAAAAACAATTGATTGAAAAAGCAAATCTATAAGAGAGAGAGAGGCAATAGATGGCTCGGGGGTAAGGAATGAGAGAGATGGGGAGGAAGAGTAGGAGTGACTAGTTTGAATCATGATTATAGACCATTCAAGCCGGCCTCAAGGGATTGAGAACTTGATATAACGTAAAATTATTAGGGGAGTTGAGTGATATTATCAAAAAATTTTAGAAAAGATTTCTAGAATTTTTCTTTTCACTTATGACACAGTTGACTAATATGATTTTTGCGGAATCTGAATTATTGCAAATCTTTTAAAAGTTAGAGGTACTGTAGAAATCATAGAGAGAAAGAAAATGCCAGAAAGAAACGTACAACAAATTTTTCTTAATTTGTGAGTAACCCTGAAAACAATGCAACGATTTGTAATTTGTTACTTGAAATAGACTAATGCGGATAGGATATCATCTTTGTACAAGTGACTTATTGTTATTTGCAGTGTACAGTGGACACATTTGTGGAGAAATTATCATGCTGAATATACTTCCGGAAAAAGCTGAAAGGACTTTCTTGATATTAAGCCAAGAGAGGAAAAGGGATAAGGCGTAGATGCAATGTTGTTGAATCAATTGAAGAAAAGCTAGGATGAGAAATTCTATTTTTCTTAAATTAAAGCACAAATTTATTTCATCCTAAATGTTATAACTAAAGTTTGCTTCCTTACACCTAAACTGAAAGAGAACATGCAGTACAAAAGAAAAGCTTAATTAAAGTACTTTAAGCTTGCTCTTATAATGTGATATGAAGAAAATACAAAAGAAATTTCTTTTATTTCTCCGCTTCTCTCTCCCCTCCTACTCTATCTTTTGGCCCCTTGTCTTCTTCTTCTTTTTAGACCACTTCCTACTCTTATGTTCTTGTACCATGCACATGTATAGCACAGACATCTAGTGTTATAAACTTCTTCTACATGCATGAAATGAAATTGAAGTACTAATCTTTTGTTAAAAAATCAGTAGTTAATTAATTCTTCGACAAGTGGTGTAAACCGTTTAACAAACAATCTATCAGTGACTAAAGTCTATATTAGAAATTTAGAACTTTAAAAAGAATGAAAAATAAAAAGTCCATGTTAGAGCTTATTCTCATACCATTATCTAGAAGAAAATTCGTTAATTACTTGCGTGGATTGCGATATTTTATGAGGCCATAACTCTAGCTGACTGTATCATCTAACCTCAACATGATCTGTAATATCTTCTAAAACATGATTAGTACTTACATTAATTATTGGATACACATGTGCAACTGTGATAAAGTGGAAGTATAAACTATGAAGCAGAAGATTCATTTTGTATATTGTAAACCGACATCAAAACCTTTTATGAACAAATATCTTTGATTAGAAAAGATTTAGCCCAAGAAACCTTCTAGCGAACTACTGCATTTCTGCTTGTAACAGCATAGCTTTTGCATCTCGGGTATGCATAAATGGGGGAATCTGCTTCCTTGAAATCACAGGGCATGTCCTCATCGATCCTTCCAATCCTTCCAATCCCAACACTGTAACTCCTCTTCTCCGCTGCTTTAGCGGGCAGCTTCACGCTTGTAATTGGCCTTTGCAACTGAGGATCGATGGTCTTGATCCCAGCATTGGCCTCACTCAGCTTTGTGGATACGGCGCGAATGAGTTCCCTGAGTTCATCTTCCTGCTTGCTATCCTTGGACGAGTTAACGCTGAAGTTTCGTGGTAGCTGTTGAGACACTTGAGGAGCAATACCGCAGTTAACCACCGTGTTATCACCAATTCTTGCAGCACAATCGAACATGCTGTTCATGTAGAATTCTGTTATTTTCTTCAGGACTCTGGCAGGTGCTTTTAGGATAACCATCAGCGTGCTTTGCTTCTTTGCTTTTGTCGTCGTCTTCATTCTATGAGTTGTTGATTAAGAGGAGCTAACTGAAAATTGGCAAGTATTGATGATGAAGTTAAAATGTTGAGTGAGGTGGGAAGGGCGGCAAAATATTGAAGGGGTATATAACAGATGCAGATTGCTTCGAGTGTTGATTTCATTTTGTAACTTGTACTGCCTTTATGTTTGTAGCGTTATTGACTCTTTCTAGTGTAGAACAGATCCAAGGTCAAATATATGGCTGTCCATGCTCCATACGCATAATTAACTTGAGGAGAATTGCAATTTTGGGCCTCTATATAGTGGATAATCACAATTGGACCTTTTCAAACTTTAACTTTGATATATTCAGACCAGACGTTAATTAGTCTGCCAAGTTTAGGATATGAGATTATTTGAAATATTATTTGGAATAATTACTGTAGCACTTTTTGTGATGTGATGTATGTGAGATAAAAAGATAATTGAAAAGATAAAAATGTGTGTTGGAAATTATATTTGTAATGTAAGCAAATAATTTTTAGCCATTATTTGGCTATCCAAACACATTACATATGGTTCCTCGTGTTCAGATGATTCTTAAAGTTGGGGGGGGGGGGGTCATGAATTTCTTCTTGAATCGAAGTATAGAATTTTGAAAATTTTAAAAAGCCTAAACTTGTCCACACCAGAAATTCGAGGAGGCCATCTAAAAGAAATTTAGAAGTCCGGGGATTGTGGCTTATATATGTTGAAATAGAAATTT